AAGTTCTAGGTCAGCCTGTGCTCTCTGTATAGTAAGTTCTAGGTCAGCCTGAACTGTGTAAGAGCCTGTTTTTAAGGGGGGAAAACCAAAACCAAAACCCCTATGCCTTGAAAGAGGGTCCAGTCCAGACCTCACACTGCACTGGATCTGTGCCAGTCCTTCCTCTCTAAAGCTTCCTTCTTTTCCTGTGAGCTTCTGCTTATTTCCAGAATTCTGGCATGGGGAATGCTCTGTGTAAGGACGGTCTGAGAATGTTTCATTTAATTTTGTCCTTATCCTGGATCTAATTTCTACTGCCCTGAGAAGTAGAATGACTAACTAGAGACTCAGTAGACCAAATTAGTATAGAAAATTGGAATTGGGACCAATAAAAAAATATATTTTTTAAATCCCTTTACACAGCTTTTGGAGTACTGTTGTGGGAAATTGCTACATATGGGATGTCACCATATCCAGGTATTGACCTATCTCAAGTCTATGACCTACTGGAGAAAGGATATCGAATGGAACAGCCTGAGGGATGCCCCCCTAAAGTATATGAACTTATGAGAGCATGTAAGTGTTTTGCATATTTGAACTTTGAAAAAGAACCAGCAACAAGGTAGTTAATGAAATCTGCACCATTTTTGCTCTCAGTCTTGATAGACTGGACCTAGTCTCATTAACAGTTAAAGAGCTTGTCATTGACAGGGCCAGTTGGCACAATGCGTGATGTACCATTGAGTCTTACTGGAATCCCAAGAATAGCTGTCTGTGGCCCATATACAGAGCCATTTCTGTATATTTAATAAGGCAGTGAGAAGTTGAGTTTGCATAAAATATTAGGAGGATGGCTGCTTTCAGCTAGATGTGAATGATTACTTAAGACTGATTGTTAAAGTAACCTCTAATGGACTGGGAGGTGGCTCATTGTGTAAGAGCACTTGCTTTGCACGCATGAGGACTTGAGTTCAAATTCCTAGTACTCATGTGAAAAGCCTGTCTCCACTGCACATGCCTGTAACCCCAGCATCAGGGATCTCAAGAGGTCCCAGGAGCTCACTGGCCAGCAAGCATACTTAGCTGAAGTGGCAAGCTTCTGATTCAGTGAGAGACCCTATGTCAAGGCACTAAAGCAAATAACAGTAGAGAAAGATATCCTGTGGTTTTTTGTTGTTTTTTTTTTTCTGGCTTCCACAAAGGTTACATGTGGGTGTCTAAGTGCAAACTCCCATGCGTTTTCTAGACACATAAAAACCAGAAAGCAATCTCTTATGAATGTGAACAAAAGCATCAGACTGCTTGAGGATGCAAACTTAGGAACTGAGTAGTAAACAAGAGTGTGCTTGTGTTCATGCACTACTGCATTATTTTCTCATTGGGCGTTTGTGGTCGTGCTACCCTTCATCAAGTGTGAACTCTAATCTTTCTGATAGCTTGTTAAATTTCTGGATTATACACTCAATTTTTAGGAACCTGGGTGTGTTTTGTGTTTGGTTGGTTGGTTTTTGGTTGATTTTTAAAGACAGCATCTCATCATGAAGCCCGTCTGGCCTGGAGCTCACGGTGTCCAGCAGACTGGCCTTGATCTCAATAGAGATCTACCTGTCTCTGCCTTCTCAGTGTTAGGATTAAGGGTGTGGTACTACCATGCCTAATCAGTTATTTTTTAAATTATTTATTATTATTTATTTATGAGGTGTGCTGCAGTATTAGTGTGGGAGTCTCTGTATAAATTCTCTCATTCCACAATGTGAACCCAGGGATTGAACTCAGGTTGTCAGACTTGGTGGTGAGCACTTATACCACTGAGCCATCTTACTAGTTCGCTTTTCTAACAGTGGAAAACTTGCCATTTTCTAAACATTCTTCCGACCTTTTCCTCATTTTTGTGAAAGTAGTTGTAATGGGGACCAGCACCAAGGAGTGGGCACTCGAACTCTAAGGCTGGAACCAGGAAGTAGCCATACATCCCACAGTTCACCTACACATTCAGTACTCTGATAGGCACACACCATGGCGTGTGGACCCCATTGCTGGTGTGTTTCTGGGCATGACGCTGTCAAGGAGGCTGTAAGTTCTCTTCTGTTACAGGCTGGAAGTGGAGCCCTGCCGACAGGCCCTCTTTTGCTGAAACCCATCAAGCTTTTGAAACAATGTTCCATGACTCCAGCATCTCTGAAGGTAAGTCTTGGGGCTGGGGATTGACTACTGATGGCCAGTTGCAGGGTACTGATGGTCGTTCAAAATGGGCAGCTACTATAGTTTTTAACTGTTTAAAGTTGACTTTTGACCTTTATTATTTTGCTTTTTTATACCTTTTTAGTTGTGTGTTTTTCATTTTTCTTTCTTTCTTTTTCTTTTTTTAATTTGGTTTTTGAGACAGGGTTTCATTGTGTATCCCTGAGTGTCATGGAATTTACTCTGTATACCAGACTGGCCTCAAACTCAAGAGCTCTACCTACCTCTCTGCCTCCTGAGTACTGGGATTAAAGGTGTACGTCACCACTGCCCAGGAGTTCTGGGGTTTTTTTATATCATATTTCATACTGAAATTACATTTTGATTTGAAATGTACTCAGTCTCTACAAAGAAAATCAGTAACTTCAGTAGTTCTTAACATAGTATGAAGGAGATTAAAAAGTAAGTGTGAAAATATTTTAGGGGCTGAGAAGATGGCTCGGCAGTCAGAACCCTTAGTACTCTTGCAGGGGCCCAGAAACAGAATTTACTTCTCAATATCCACTCTGGGTGACTCACAAGTATCTGTAACTCTGGCTTTAGAGCACCGATTGCAACCTCTTGGGGTTGTTGAACAATCCTTTCACAGGGGTCACATATCAAATATTTATGTTGGGATTCATAACTGTAATAAAACTAAAGTTATGAAGTAGCAAATGGAAATAATTTTATGGTTGGAGTCACCACAGCATGAGGAACTGTATTAAAGGGTCATGGTATTAGGAAGGTTAAGAACCACTGTTTTATAGACTCCAGTGCCCTCTTCTGGCCTCTGTGGGCACCTGCACTCATGTATGTACATAATTTAAAATAAATCCTTAAAAATAAATATATTCTAATACTAAACCACATCTAAGGCAAGACCTAGATTCCCCCAATCAATATCACAAAATCCATTTCTAGAACTGTATAGAGTATAACCAAGATTTATCTGTAGGCAGATGTGGCGTCTGACTATAGCTTATACTACTGAAAAAAATAGGAACAACCTAAGCATCTAGTGAACTGTTGATTGTATAACCACATAACTGAAAACTTATATCCTTAAATATTTTAGGCTATCAATAAATATAAACTTGTCCTTACTCAAGAAATGGGTGGGGCTGGAGAGATGGCTCAGTGGTTAAGAGTACTGACTGCTATTTCAGAGGACCCGAGTTCAATTCCCAGCACCCACATGGCAGCTCACAACTGTCTGAAGATCCAGTTGCAGGGAGTCTGACACCTTCACACCAAATGCACATAAAATAAAGTTAAAATAAACCATAAAAAATATTTAAAAAAAAAAAAGAAATGGGTGTATGGACACATATAGGAAGTTGCTTGCTTTTCTATGTAGTACTCATACCTGAAGAAGTCAAACAGTAAACAGTGTATGGCACACCAGTTACTTCTGCACTCAAGAGGCTGAGGCTGGAAGCTCTCAAGTTCAAGGCTGGCCTGAGCTACAGTATGAGAGTAATAAAGTTAATAGCCTGCCCTTTTGTGGTATGGAGTGAGACCTTGTTCTTGGAGAGCGAAGACTACAGCATTCTTAGTTTCATCTGTTTATTAGACATTGTGATACAGCTCTAAAATTTTGTACAAGCGTTTCCTTCCCTTTATAATCGCATAGAATTGATCTTGTAATTTCAAGTTTTAATATAGTAGAAGAAACTAAGAGAGTTGAATTTTGTCTTCCTCTAGTGGTTTGTCATACGCGGTAAGAAGAAAGAGGAAACAAGTACAGTGTCGGCGTTTTAATGTCTTTATCCTTCCCTCGGGTTGTCATCTCTCACACACACCAAATCAATCTATTCAGTGGTAGCAAATTTTTACAATTTAATTGATTGTGTTTCATTTTTGTTTAGGAATAAAGAGTATGTTTTGCCTCAGTCAGTAAAAGCCACAAAGCTCAGCTGGGCGGTGGTGGCGCACACCTTTAGTCCTAGCACTTAGGAGGCAGAGGCAAGTGGATCTCTGTGAGTTCAAGACCAGCCAGGGCTACATAGTGAGACCCTGTTCCAAAATCAAAGCACATTTTAGGGCCAAAGTGATGGCTCAAAGGTTTAGAGCCACTGGCTGCTCTTCCAGAAGACCTTAGTTCATTCCTAGCAACCACCTGATGCCTTATTTTTTAAGATGTCATTTTGCCCAGGCTGATGCCATATTTCTGGGCTGATGAATTCCTAGCCTCAGCCTTGGGAGCAGCTAGGACTGCTGCATTTATGTACTTCAGTGTTCTGGGCTCCTTTTTCCTTTTTTTTTTTTTTTTCAATTGCCTGTCTTGTTCTCCATCTTAAGATTGCCTTTTTTAAAACACCAGACCTTGTCTTTCTTACAGAGGTAGCTGAGGAGCTTGGGAGAGCTGCCTCCTCCTCATCTGTGGTTCCATACCTGCCTCGATTACCTCTACTTCCTTCTAAGACTCGGACTCTGAAGAAGCAGGGGGAGAACAAAGAGAACTTAGATGGGGGCCTTGATGCCTCTGAGAGCCTGGCCTCCAGCTCAGCACCAGGTAGGAGGGGTCAGAACAGAAAGTGCATACCTGAAAAACCAGGGACTATGATGGGCCTTGGCCCTACCCTGCCAGTATGGGCAGCCCTGTCCATCTGACAGAGCCGCTACCAGCTCTGTTTTCTCAGTCCCTGGCGCCCAGACAGTTACCCAGATAGGTGATGGCAGGTGCATCTGTACTGTAGAGAAGGGGTGAACACAGAATGAGCAGCAAGTGTCACTTTTAATATCCACATCACAGTTGGACACTAGTCACTGAAACTGATCATGTATGTTTAATAAATGCAGATAGAACTTTTCTAATTTAATCATGTTTACTGGCTCACCTTTTGTCTTTCCTGTTATTGATTGGCCATTTCTCAGCAGGGTTTATTAGAAGTGCACAGGCCTCCAGCGGGTCCCCAGCTCTGCCTCGAAAACAAAGAGATAAGTCACCTAGCAGCCTCTTAGAAGATGCCAAAGAGACATGCTTCACCAGGGATAGGAAAGGAGGCTTCTTCAGCTCCTTCATGAAAAAGAGAAATGCTCCCACGCCCCCTAAGCGCAGCAGTTCCTTTCGCGAAATGGAAAACCAGCCACACAAGAAATATGAACTCACGGGTAACTTCTCATCTGTTGCTTCTCTACAGCATGCTGATGGGTTCTCTTTCACTCCCGGCCAGCAAGAGTCGAATCTGGTGCCAGCCAAGTGCTATGGGGGGAGCTTTGCACAGAGGAACCTCTGTAATGATGACAGTGGTGGGGGTGGGGGCAGTGGCACTGCTGGGGGTGGGTGGTCTGGCATCACAGGCTTCTTTACACCTCGCTTAATCAAAAAGACACTGGGCTTACGAGCAGGTAAACCTACAGCCAGTGATGACACTTCCAAGCCTTTTCCAAGGTCAAACTCTACATCTTCCATGTCCTCAGGGCTTCCAGAGCAGGATAGGATGGCAATGACCCTTCCCAGGAACTGCCAGAGGTCCAAACTCCAGCTGGAAAGGACAGTGTCCACCTCTTCTCAGCAAGAAGAGAATGTGGACAGGGCTAATGACATGCTTCCAAAAAAATCTGAGGAAGGTGCCGCTCCAGCCAGGGAGAGACCAAAAGCCAAACTATTGCCCAGAGGAGCCACAGCTCTTCCCCTGAGAGCCCCTGATCCAGCCATCACAGAGAGTGACTCTCCAGGGCTAGGGGTGGCTGGAGTGGCAGCTGCCCCCAAAAGCAAGGAAAGAAATGGTGGGACGCGACTTGGAGTCGCTGGAGTCCCAGAGGATGGAGAGCAGCCAGGCTGGTCTTCTCCGGCTAAGGCTGTAGCTGTCCTCCCAACCACCCACAACCACAAAGTGCCAGTCCTTATATCACCCACTCTGAAACACACTCCAGCTGATGTGCAGCTCATTGGCACAGACTCTCAGGGGAATAAATTCAAGCTCTTATCTGAGCATCAGGTCACATCCTCTGGAGACAAGGACCGACCCCGACGGGTAAAACCAAAGTGTGCCCCACCCCCACCACCAGTGATGAGACTACTGCAGCATCCATCCACATGCTCAGACCCCGAGGAAGAGCCCGCTGCCCCATCTGCAGGACAGCCCACTCCAGAAACCCAGGAAGGAGGAAAAAAGGCAGCTCCAGGGCCCGTGCCCAGTAGTGGGAAACCTGGGAGGCCAGTGATGCCTCCACCTCAAGTGCCTTTGCCCACATCTTCCATCTCGCCAGCCAAAATGGCCAATGGCACAGCAGGTACTAAGGTGGCCCTGAGAAAAACCAAACAGGCAGCGGAGAAAATCTCAGCTGACAAAATCAGCAAAGAGGCCCTGCTGGAGTGTGCCGACCTACTGTCCAGTGCAATCACAGAACCTGTGCCCAATAGTCAACTGGTGGACACTGGGCACCAGCTGCTGGACTACTGCTCAGGGTACGTGGACTGCATCCCTCAGACTCGCAACAAATTTGCCTTCCGAGAGGCTGTGAGCAAACTGGAACTTAGCCTACAGGAGCTGCAGGTGTCTTCCACAGCTGCTGGTGTGCCTGGGACAAACCCTGTCCTTAATAACTTATTGTCGTGTGTACAGGAAATTAGTGATGTGGTGCAGAGGTAGCCATTGTCAGCCTGGTGGGAAATGCACACATATCTGAGGGGAGAGGGAAAGGGACTCGTTTTCCTGTGTTTTTGTTTTTAAAAAGTGACAGACTGATACTTGAGTGTGTTTATGTGAAGTACCTCAGATCCCTGAATTCTCACGTTTACAGGTTCATCTCATAATAGCAAAAAGGAAGTCACATAAGTAGATAAGTCAGTTTGGTGGAGCAGGGCAGTGTGGACAGAGTTGGAACCTGTGCTGGAAAGTAAGGGAGCATATGTCATACAAAAGTACAGCCCCTCCCTAGCCGGAATAACCTGTGCGCTCCATTGGGCTGCTGTCAGTTGTTCTGTATCATGAAACAGGCCTTGACCTGGCATGTCCTGGGGTGGTTGTGCTTCAGCTTACCGTGCAAATTCAGGAACAGGAGAAAGCCAAGTGAGGGATGTAGCACAGCTATCAGAAGTGGCTCCTATGGGTCATTGCTGCTGTAGTAAGAACTGCAAATTAGATTGCTAGAACACTCAGCTGGGAAACGTGGCCCTCTGTCTGCTTTTGCCCTGTTTACCTTGGGTGTATTAACTGGTACAAGAAGTACAGAATTTGAGGAACATTTAGGCAGACTGACACCTAAAACTGATGACTAGCAATCACCCCTTCCACTCTTCTAGCATGTTACTTCCTAATGGACCAGTATTCACTTGCTGCTTCTTGGTGGCTATCTGTAAACCACGGACATGGAGGGGAGGCGGGTCTTAGTGGTTCTTCTCTGTCTCTTGCTGGGCAGGCTGTCTTTCTTCATTTCTGGCAGCATTCAGGGCATTACCCAGCATTGATGTCAAAAATAGTGGTCATTAGAGGTTCTCATAGAGGAGACCGTCTATGCCCTGAACACTGAGCAGCTGTATATGTTCTTTTTAATTAAAGTACTAAGGAGTTACAGTACCTTCTTTATGCTGGCTGGGCCCAGAGCCTGAGACTGAGAAGAGACCCTTGCTGGATCACGTGGTTTTCATACCTTTCCCTGCCCGTGACACCCTGCACTATTCCGGTAGACAGTGGAGAAGGCCTCTTCACTAAGGCCTGCCTCCCTCCGCAGTCTTCCATGCTCTTTCTCTGCTCACATAGCACGCCACCCCCTCGTCGCACTTGATGGAATTTGTGTTGGGAATATGGTTTATTTATTTTGTTCTTTCACCTCTATTTTAAGAGTGCATTATAGGAGTGGGTTATTTTCAGGGAGCACCAATTAGACTTAGAAACCGAAGGGTTTAACCTGCAAATAGGATTTGCCTTTGAAAAATAGGCATTTCCGGTCCCTAAATTACAGTTATGGAAGCTAATAGGGTAACATGGATTAAAAACTTAGTAGGCAACATATTGTTGATGTTTTTGGTGCTGGGTCTAATTCCAGTTTTGTTTTGTTTTATGTTGTTTTGTTTTCTAACTTTGTGAACACCCCTATCATTCCCCAAAGAGAACCCAGTACAAAATATCTTTTTTTTTTCTTCTCTCAGAGTATTAATGTAGGAAGATGGGAATTCAGCACTAAGCAGTGTTTTCTTCCTGATTGTCATCGATCCACTGTCAGGTCGCTGCCCCATCTTTGGATCTATTAATTGAAGGCACTAGCCCAGATTCTCAAGAGTGTTTTGCAGACTAATATGCAGCTCCCTTTGAGAGCCTTTCTGGAGAGCTCTTTACTTAGTGTTGGTACATTGGGTCGCTCGCTTTTCATTCTCTCCGCTGATTCCCAAATGAGAAACTTTAGAACTGCTATGCTTACAGTAATCGGGCCAGAATCCTAAAGGGAAACTATTTCAGGTTGCATTTGGCATCCTTGACCAAGGAAGAAATGTAGTTTCATTAGAAAGGATATTTGGATACTTATCACTGCTGCTCCAGAAAAGGCTCAGGGTAAGAGGAGGTCTGCAGCGGAGGAGACAGCTCCTACAGGTGTCAGTGTGTTCCCACGGCTGCAGTCTAGGTAGCTAGGGATCAGGTTAATGCCCTTGTAGTAGTTGGAAGAAAATTTTCCCACCTCCTTCTTCACCGCTCCCCATGATTGTATGCACCCGTATACTTGAATCTGTTTTAGCAGTTAGCCTCGTATAAATGGGGAGGAGAAACCTAAAATTTGAGGCCATTATTAATGCTGCTTTTAAAGTTTATCCCTGCCATAATGGGATGTCATAAGAGATCGTTGTTTTCAGGTTTGGGTCTTGTTTTGTTTGTTTGTTTGTTTGTTTGTTTGTTGGATGGTTGGTTTTCCCTTCAGAGTTCTGAAAACAGGCTTGAAGGAACACTACTGAGTGTCTCAGCTCCCTGCTCTTCTCAGTCTGAGGGGCTGAGTCAAGGCCCAGTTTTGCTAAGGGCAGCACCAATTCTGTCCTGCAGAGTGGGTCATCGCTAAGTCCACGAGCTGAACTGACTTTCTCGGCACTGCCATGAGTAGTATTGAGTGTTGTAGCATACGCCCCATGATGCGTGAACTGCGTAGCTTTCAGGGACTAGGCCTCAGTTCAGAGGCACTGTCAACTTGCTATGAAAGAATGATTTAGGTTTTTCCTTTTATATACCTGCAAGGGACCAGCTTAAAAACAGCAGATTTGAAGGTTTGAATCTAAAGCAGAGAAAACTGCTTTTAGAAATTAAAAACGTTACTTAACTTTATGTAGCCTGAAAACAGCAGATGGCAGGTCCTAAAGCCATTTGATCTATGCATGTCTTGCCCCAACTTCATTCCTTTATGTACAAGCCTTGTGGTTTCAGTTGGGTACCCACCTTCACGTGTTGCATTTTGTAGTGAATATATCCTAATTATGCTTACAGGAAGCTTTTTTTTTTAAGCTTTGACTTCAATTATATTTCACATTTTCAGGCGTTTCCTATCATTACGTTCAGAGAGAAAAACCTTAAAATGGGCTTTTCTTAAAAGATGTGTTTTGTAGTAAATTGAACTGAATTGAACATGGTACACCAAACTAGATCTCTCTAGGGAGAAACTGATTGGGTCATTTCAGGGTGGCCTCTGTGTAAGGTCATAGTGGAGATTAGTTTCCGGCAGCATTGTCAGGTTTCAGTTAGAAATGTTCTAATACTTGGTTGACACTGACTGATTAAACTGTTTCTTGGCATAATGAAGACTGGGTTTTTGAGTTTAGGGGATCCAGCAACGTCAGTAGTGTGAGGTGATGTTTGTAGACTAGGCAGCTCAGGTGCCCAGTACACACTGAGCACTCGATGAATGTTAACTGCGAGTGTTCACTCCTAACCCAGGAGCATGCAATAGTCCTGTAGAGGTTTTTAAAGGAAATGTCATGAACTCTCCCCACTCTACATTGGAATTCCTGGTGGGCTGAGAGAGTAGCTAGTATGTTTCCCAAGAACTTCTCCAGGTTTCAAACCCCACTGTCTGAACATAACACTCTCTTGCCCTTTTCTTTGCAGAAGAAGGGACTGGAGAGGACGGCTGTCACTAGTCCATTGTCTTGGAGCAGTTAGTGACAGAGCTGAGGGGAGAATTCAGGAGTCCTGACACTGGCGTTTCTCCACCGCACCTGCTGCCTTGTGAGGTGCTCAGCTAGACAATCAGTATCCATGGCACTGCACACTTGTAAAGCACAGGCTCTGGTGGGCTCTGGCAGTGATAGTGTAGCCAAACAAGCCTTTTGTAGAATTTGGTTATGAAGCCAACAAAGCCCTGTTCTTCTAGACCTCAGCCACACAGAAAGCTGTACTTCATAGTTAAAAATATCTAACCTGAGTTATTTCAAAACAAAAAAGAACAAAACCAGTTCTCATTCCTTTTTGTTCAAAAAGAAATCTGTTGTGTCATTTTAATGACTGTGGCATAGTCGGGAAGCACCTTGAAGTAAATGCAATCCAACTATAAAGCTGGATTGTGAGTATCTGTAGAGGATGGCCTGACCTGGACCTGCAGCTAGACTCACCCCTGGAGTTCGCTACAGAATTACATATGAAACTGCTAATAGTTCAGAGCTGGGAACTTCAGCAAGCTTGGGGACCAGTTTTTTGGTTTTGTTCTCATCGTTAAGAACTAGTAAAGTAGTGGCATGTAATCCTAGCAGTGAAGGAGCTGAGGCAAGAGAATCTCCAGTTCTAGATCAGCCTGGGCTACAGAATAAGACTCAAGGGGGCGGGGAGGTTAGTCCCTCTGGAGCCCAGCAGTTTGTCTGGGCCTGGATTGGAAGATGAAGGCCCTCTTTCTTTAGAGCAGTCATCTAGTATATACTCAGCTCTTATGTCCTTGCTATGGTGAGAGCAGACTCATTTCCTATTCATGTTGACAGTATCTTTTAAAACTAATATCTTGGCGGTGGGAGGTAGAGAACTGATGTACTTGGAGAATTTCCAGAATTTCTCTACCAGTTATAAATGACATTGACATTAATCATCTATCCTTAAAAGAAAGGTAGCTGAGCTTACCTGCCCTATTAGATAATCGTATACGCAGGTGAATCATGTGGAGGCAGGCAGCTTACATCTAGCTGCGCTCTAACTCTAACCTCCCTGTATTTGTAGTAAATCCTGTGGAGGTGACTTTTCTGACCTCCCCATATTTGTCTATCTTTGCTAGTGCTATCATTGTCATCATTAGGCTGTGTCTTCAGGGGAGTCGGTATTGGGTTGACAGAGTCTTTATTTCTGTTGTTAGTGATCTGTTTCATCATCTTGCATGCATTAACTTTCTTCACCCGGATCTGGGATCCATCTTTACACCCTCAACGTCTGCTGTGGTCAGTAACTGTTATATCCACTGTCAGCTGCCTTAACTTCGTCCAGGTCTTTGAAAATTCCTGTTTGAGTTTTGTAGGCATGCAGGAGCCCAGAGCAAGTCAGTTCCAAGGAGATCTGTGTACAGACTGGCCAAGGCAGCCCAAGGGTGCCCATGGCTCCCATGCTGCTAGGATTGCCTCCCAGGTAGAGAGGCGTGGCTTTGGGATGCTTCTAAAACTTGGCCCACTCCTAATGTCTTGTGCATAGAGTTCCATTTTTCCAACTTAGGGGTCAGTAGTTACAGGGAGTACTGGTTGCTGTCACCTGCACTACTAGTCAGCACAGCACAGTGCCCCAACTTCACTGCTGTTGCCTGTGATCCTGCTACTGAGGAGGCTGACTTGGCTCAGCCTGCTCAAGAGCATTGGAAGCTGATTGTTGTGTCCAGCTTGTCTTTGTAAGGCTGCTGATTTCCATGCCATGTGTGTGTCCGTCTTGACTCTGTTCCATGATAACTCTTTCGTTTTTGGACTAGCTCCCCACATGACCCGGGAGACCATGTGCTGTGCCCTAGATAAGATCTGGGGCAGTTTATCTTGATTAGAAGCTGACCGAGTGGCAGAGGCCATGCTCAGAGGTCTGTGCCTTTAAGGATGGCTTCCTGAGTATTGCTGGGAGAAACACTTGACTGCTGAACTGTGTATTAGATCTTAAAACAAACTTCATCACGACTCAAAGATCCCTCCTCCCCAGTCAAAATGCCAGCTGGCAAACTGCTGCCTCACCTTTCTCAGCTCTGTGTGATGAGCTGAGGGAAGGAGGCTCCTTCTAGACCCACCCTCCCTCCACACACACCTCCTTGCTCTATGCTACCTGTATATCAAGACTCCTAGATAATAATATTCTCTATTTCCCTGGTGCTGCAAAACCTGAACACAATAGTGGAACTCGATTAGCCAGAGAGGACGGGTGGTGCACTGAGTAGGTCTGCAAACCTGCCCCTCCAAGGGGAGGTATGGTCACTTACCTTCAGTGGGTCCTCTGCTCTTCCCAGGGTACAGGCCCTAATCCTTTAGGACATGGGGGAGGCATTGTGAAATGCCAACAAGTTAGTAAAAGGAGATGCAGAGAGTTTTGTGGGTGGAACTTGTTTGCCTTGTTTTTGTGGCCCTGAATAGGAGTTGAACACCCTATTTCATGTTTTTAGGGACCATACAATTTAGTGGCGAGTGGGACTTAAAAATTTCACATTCATAGGTTCTTAATTTTCATCAGTTGTAAGTTCTTTGTTAAATCAGGGCTGTGATGCTTCAGGGTCCTTAGTTCCCTACATTATGCTTGGTATTCTTAAGACCCATGCTGTATGTATTGTGAATAGCAAGAATGCTGATGGTCGGGGCCACATGAACAGCATTCTTCATCTGACGGCCAGCTTCCACTATACCACTAACACTCCATCATGTGAAGCCTTTCTTTGCTGAGACCTGAAGAAAGGACCTTCAGGAAAATGAGTATTCAGAAACTAAAGAGAAGGGCAGGTACTCTCCATACAGCTCCTGCTTCCCTCTCTCTGAGGGCAGAAACAGTGGTGAGCGCGCTGCCCTGATCAGCTCCTTGAGCACACTGCACTCCGAAGCCTTCCTCGTAACCCTGCACTTTCTCTCCCTCACAATCAGATTCTATAGTGACTATCTGTGGAGAAAACCGATTTTGTGCTTGCTTGGTTAAAGTAAATTTGAACATTTTATGGTGGTTGATAGAACTTTGTCCTAAATTTTGCTGATTCAGATTCTTTAAAACCCTGATGTTTATACCAAAGGTTACACTGCAGGCCTGAGTGGTGCACAGAGGGCGAAGCCCACAGTGGGCACTGTGTGCATTGCTAAAGGGACACAGTGCCCAGTGAGACCATGTGGGATTTAGCTAAAACATGTCAGTCATGGGTCACACTACCACTGTTGTCAAGTATTTGTTCTTAATTGTTACTGTAATATATTTTCGATTGTTTTTCTAATTTAATTCTCTCACTCTGTTGTCTGACTGTGAACTGCTAACAGTGTTAAAACTTGATGTAAATAAATGATGCCCTTGGCAGGGACTGCTTCCTGTCGTATCTCATGGTTTGCAAGTTGTGTCTTGTTTTAAATAAAGGTTGAAGTATTTTATTGGCAAAGTGGGCTTGAGTTGGAGTATTTCTCCCAGCATTTTAATTGAGAGGGAAGCTAAGCAGATCTTTATAGGCGTACAGTGGATGTCCGTGACGTCCAGCAGATGTTCAATGAGCATTCCTCTAATACATCCTTCCTGGAGTGGACTGTGATACGGATCCTCATTCTGTGATGAGTGTTGTAAGTATAGCACCTTCCGGAGCCTGGGCTCGCTGACATCAGGTAGGTCATGTGTGGTTATGTGTCTAATGTGTATGGACTACACATAGACTTGATTCTCTGAAAATCCATTCTGAACACAACTGCAAATAAGTTCTTAGATTGTCTTGAGACATGTATTAACAGAGTAGGTATAGATCCTCAAAGAGAATATTCTTACTCAAAATTATTTACTTCTTTGTTTTTTCATGCTTACAAGACAGGCATGTATCCTTCCCAAGGTGGCCTCAAACTTGCCATGCAACCAAAGATGAACTTAGTTTCCCCCTGCTGGGGTTGCTGTCATATACCACCACACTGTTCATATGGGTGCTGGCAGTTGAACCCAGGACTTCATACATAGTAAGCACTCTTAACAGCTGACCCACATTCCCAGGTCCCAATACCCTTTTGACACATTTGTACACATTCATCGAGGACAGTGTGACCAGCGGCTATCATGACAAAGATAGGTAAGAACTCGGTCATGCTGTTGGACTGCAGAGTGTTTCAGAAGAGCTAACAGTGAAGATTCTGAATGCTCTCACCACAGCAAAATCTGGCCATGGATATTCTAAATACTTGATTTGGTTACTGCAGTGTGCGTGTGTGTAGAAGCAGTGGTGTCTCACTGTCAGCCCTCCTGTCCCCCGGGCTTTGGTAGTCCTCCGCATGATGAGCTCCCTGACACGGCACGAGTGGGGTCAGACAGCGTTGACCCTGACTTATTTCGAGTAGCACGTTTTGCACATTGGTCCACGTCACTGTTTGTCATGCTCCGGTACTCCCCTCTGTGTGTGCATCCATGTCTAGGACCCCATCATCTGCTGATGGATTCAGGCTGCTTCCATCTCACGCCTCTGCACAGTGCTGCCCTGAACACAAGCTCCGATGTCTGTCTTATATGATTCCATTTCTCTTCACTCCCTGTAGTGGGATTTGTGTTCATTTTTCAGCATTCCCAAAATTCCGTGTACACCGGAATGTTATACATTGTAGCGTATTTAAAGCTGTTGAAAAGTGTATTTTAAATACATTTTTAATGTCTATAAAATACTTATGGAGTATCATGTGTTGTTTTAAATCATTGTATACACTGTATAATGTTGAAATTATGTTAAACATCACTTCCTCATAGTCATTCCTAGTTTATTTTGAAAACAGACTCTCACTACATTGTCCTGACTGATCTTATCCGTGCTGTGTAGACCAGGCTGGCTTTGAACCTTATCCTTGCTATGTAGACCAGGCTGACTTTGAATCTTATCCTTGCTGTGTAGACCAGGCTGGTTTTGAACCTTATCTTTGCTGTGTAGACCAGGCTGGCTTTGAACCTTGATCATCCTCTCTGAAGGATGGAATTACAGGTATGGGCCACCATGCCCAGCCTCAATAAACCCTTCTAGCCAGTTGAAAAAGTCAGATTTTATTAAAACAAGTTTTATTTTTATTTCAGTGTGTGTGCACTGGTACCCTCAGAGGCCAAAAGAAACTGTTTCCCTTGGAGGTGGAGTTACAGGCAGTTGTGAGCTGCTGGACATGGGAACCAAATTTGAGGAAAGAGCAGTCTGAACTTAGGAGCTGTGTCTCTTACACAAGACAGGAACTCTAACTCCTGCAGAACCTACTGGTAGGCCTCTCCCTGCTCCCTCCCTCTTTCACCTTTTGCTATCCTAAAAGATTCCCTCTGTTTTCTTAGGGTAATTTTATAGTTTCAGAGTATACAGTTTTATATTTAAATCAAATTTTGTTGTTTTAGCTGAGACTCTATTAAAGCTTTTTGTTTTTCCTTTTTGTAATGCTAGGGATCACATATGCTAGGAAGATATATCTCTAGCCCTTAGTCTTTTGAGTCTAGACTGACCTTGAGTTTTAAATCCTACACCCCTGCCTTCTAAGTGCTGGGGTTACAGATGTGCACCTTCGTGCCAAGCTATATTTACTTTGCATAACCACTATACCATTTCCATAGTGTCTGCTGGTTTACATTCTTCCCAGTAGTGTCTTACCAGCCCTCCCTTTCTGTAGCCTCCCTAGGGGTTGTCTTAATATTCTGATTGGGGTAAGGTGTCTCCTCTGGAGGGAAGACAGAAGTTCATGCAGCTTAGGAGATTGACAAGCCCCTTCCTCTAGGCTACCTGAGCACACAACAGTTGCTGCAAACAGGGGAGAGACTGGTGGAGTTGCTTACACGTTGAGCAGAGAGCTCCAGGGCTGTAGCTTTCTGAGTCGTACCCGTGCTAGTATAGGCTTTCTGGTGATGTAGCCACCTGAAAGTCACCCAAGTTTCTGTATATCACCCCTAAATTCATTGATTCACCAGGGTAGACTTGGATGGAATCATCCCTTTGGTTCGGCACTGGTGCCCTGTCAGAGGTGAACAGAAGTTTGTTCATACCGTCTTTATCAGGAAAGGCTGCACGATACATACACAGTTTGATTAACTTTTCTGTTCCATAGGATGAATACTTTGCTGTTGCCTTTTTCTCTCTTCTAAGACTTCTCTTTAAAAAAAAAAAAAAAAGATTATGTGCTATAAGTGTTCTGTCTGCATGTATGCCTGGTTCCCACAGGCCCAGAAGAAAGTGTTGGGTCCTCTGGGACTGGAGTTACAGGTAATAGTGAGCCATCATGTGGGTGCTGGGAACTGAACAAGTACTCTTCATCACTGAACCATCTCTCAGCCCACTTGTCTTTTGAAGAGCATCTGTTGTCTTTTCTTTGAAGTTTTACTTGTTGAGCTCTTTGAGCTTCTATATTCTGGAGAATAACTCACCAGCTTAGGTTGTCTCTTCCTGACAGTTTATTTGGCCTTTCGGCTTTTTAGTTTGATGAAATCCTTTTGTCGTTTATTGCTACTTTACTGCTTTGCTACTGGGGTCTTTTCCAAAAAATCAATGCCCGTACCAAGGTCTTGAAACATTTGTCTTCTAGTTTCAGGTTTTACATGTAAATCTTTAATCTATTTTGAGTTGGTTTTGTATGTAGTGAGAGCTAAGATCTACATACAGACGGCCACATTACCCAAAACCATTTATTACAGAGACTACCCTTCCTCTGGTGCACTTTCTTGATACCATTGTAAAAAGTCTGTTGGCTTGAAGTGCATATATTGTATTTCTCTGCATTCTGTTTCATTGGTGTGTGTGTGTGTGTCAGTACCATGATGTTTTGGTTCTATACTTTGTAATAACTTTCAAGTTAGGTAATACAATACAGCTGTGTCCTTTTGTTTGAATTCCTTTGGCTACTTAAGGATTTTGTAGTTTCTTAAAAATTTTGAAATCATTTTCCTATTTTGTGTGAAAAATGTCATCTTAGGGTTTCTATTGTTGTGAGGAGACACCATGACCATAACAACTCTTATAAAGGAAAACATTTAATTGGGATGACAGCGTAACGGTTTCAGTGGTCAGTCCATCACCATCATCATGGGGAGCATGGTGGCATGCAGGCAGATAGATGTGCTGGAGCTGAGAGTGCTACTTCTTGAAGGCAACAGAAAGTTGGCTGAGATACTGGGCGGTATCTTGAGCAAAGGAAACCTCAAAGCCTGTCCCCAAAGTGACACACTTCCTCCAATAAGGCCACAGCACCTAACAGTGCCACTTCCTATGAAAATATGGGGGCCAATTACATTCAGACTACTAAAGATGTCTTGATAGGCATTTCATTGAATCTAGATCACTGGCATTGTGGACATTTTATGCTGTTGAATCTTCTAGTTCATAATCATGAGTGTGTTTCCAGTCTTTCTCATCATTGCTCTTTTAGTTTTCAGTGTAGGCTATATTACTTCCTTGGTTATGTTTATTCCTAAGTATTTTATTATAATTGTAAATAAGTTTGTCTTTTTTAAAAAATATATATTTATTTATTTATTATGTATACAATATTCTGTCTGTGTGTATGTCTGCAGGCCAGAAGAGGGCACCAGACCTCATTACAGGTGGTTGTGAGCCACCATGTGGTTGCTGGGAATTGAACTCAGGACCTTTGGAAGAGCAGGCAATGCTCTTAACCACTGAGCCATCTCTCCAGCCCCTAAGTTTGTCTTTTTTATTTAATTGGCTGTTAATGTTTTTTTGTTTTGTTTTTTGTTTTCTTTGAGACTGGGTTTCTCTGTTTAACAGCCCTGGCTTTCCTGGAACTCATTTTGTAGACTAGGCTGGCCTAGAACTCAGAGATCTGCCTACCTCTGCTGGGATCAAAGGCATGTACCATGTTGCTTTTATACTTGATTTTTTTGAAGGTTTTTTTTTTTAAAAAAAAAAACAAAACATTAAGATGTTTTTCAGTTGGTTTTTCTGCATCTATTGAAGTGATCATATAGTTTGTACCTTTCATTCTGCTAATATGATAGATCACATTTAATCATTTAGAGAGATTGAACCATCCTTGTATTCCTGTAAAGAATTCCTTTTGGTCATAGTGTGTGATCTTTTTGTTGTGATGTTGTTTAGGTTGTATGTTTTGTTAAGGATTTTGGCATCTGTGTTCAGCAAGGATGTTGGCCTATAGATTTTTGGGTTTGGCGTGGGGTTTTATTGTTTTTATTTTATATCCTTGTCTGATTTTGCTGTCAAGGTAATACCTCATGGAATGAGTTTGGTAGTATTCCTTCAATTTTGGGGGTAGTTTCAATAGAATTGGTGTTAATGTTTATTGTTTAATAAAACCAACCTTACACTCTTAACTCTCTTTTCTCAATCTCCTTGGTGCTGGGATTACTACCATTTTTTACCACACCCAGATTTATTTGTTTTGAGAATGGGTTTCTCAACATAGCTCTGGCTATCCTGGAACTTGCTATGTAGAGACCAGGCTGGCCTTGAACTCACAGAGATCCAGCGGACTCCAGATTAAAAGGCATGTGTTAACCATGCCCTTCTCAGACTTTTAACTCTATTAAGGTAGATTTCAACATGAAGCTTCTCTTTGATGTGAGACTTTAAAAAAAAAAACCTTGTTAAAAGTCTGTTCGGGTTGTTTATTTCCTCATGATTTAATCTTGGTAGGTTTTCAACATACAGGGATTTGTCTATTCTACATAATCTACTTTGTTGGTATATAATCATAAGTTTTTTGAATCCTTTGTATTTCTGTGTTACCAGTAGTAATATCCTCATTTCTATGGATTACTTGATTCTTCTTCCCCACCTACCCTTTCTCTTTTTCTTAGCTGGTAAAGGTCATATTTATATTTCAAAAATAAAGGAAGAATTAGCAGCCTTTTCATTGATCCTTGGTTTTCCTTTAGTTTTTAGCATCAAGTCCAATGTCTTTATTTAGAAACAGAGTCTTGGGCCTGGGGATCAGCAAAGTGCTTGCCTAATATGCAAGAAACCCTGAGTCTGAGCCCAGCACCAAATAAATCCAGTGTACTGGCACATGCCTATAATTACAGCACTAGGAAGATGTTGACAAAATAATCAAGGTCATTTTGAGATTACAGATTGAGGTCAAGGCCAGTTTTTGCTGTAGGAGACATTGTCTCAAAAAGAGAAGAAAAATCAAGACAAGGTCTTCATTATATAGCCCAGCCAGTCTCAAACTCACTAGACAGCCCAGGTTTTCTTAAGCTTGGCAGCCTTCTGCCTCAGCTTTCCGAGTACTAGAATTACAGGTGTGTTGCCAACCTTGCTATTTCGTTTTTAATGGTTTTCCACTGCGATGTTTCTTAGTTTGTTAGTGGACACAGTGCTTGCTACTCTGAGATGTGTATATTGGCATCATTTCTCAGATCTGCTTTCCTTGTAAGTCTCGTCTCAAGAAGTTGGGATTTTCCAGCTTAATCTCTCCACTGCTCTGTTGTTCTGGAAGTTTCTGCAGCCCCTCCTCTGCATTTCCACTTTTATGCCCTGTGATCATGAGGTATTTCTAGGATTCTAGTTCTGTTAGGTTAGTACGACCTGTCAACATGGCCTGGCCTGTGGGGGAGAAACTTGTGTGTGGCTCCTGGATGGGACGGGGGCCCCATGGCTTTGTTGCAGCCCAAGCTGTCTTCCTGCTCTTCCTCCTGAATAGGGATGATAGGCATAGCAAAACCTGACTTGAACAAGAATTCTACTTTTTACTGGGCATTTCATGTAGTCTGCTTTATAAGAAATCTGAATTGTTAGATCTCCATCCCTGGTTCAGCAGCAGAGCTCCTAAACTCGAACTTTGTGAGCTGCTGTTGGCCATGCTGCTTTACTTCATTTATTTGAGTACCAAGTACCCAGTATGGTTGGACTCAGTACTCCCTAACCTAAAGCAGGCGAGTACCCAATCACTAGGTCTCAGTAAAAAGGAGGCCAACAACGTTAGAAAAATACAAAATTTAATCTACACATAGTGCATTCTGTAGCAAGACCCCTAATTTAAAAAAAAAAAGTTTCAGTCTAAAGAACAGAACATGCCTTAGCTACATACCCGTGGCTTTTGTTTTTCAAGCCTGGCTGACCTCACTCACCAGGCAGTGTGGACCTCTTGAGCTCTCTCCTGTATTGGCCTACTCAGTGCTAGGATCACATGTGTGTGCCCCCCCCATCACTGGCATGTGGTTTCCCCTTTACCTAAAGCCCCCTTTGCTGTTCTGCTCACACACAGAAACTGACACCCCCCCCTTCCTCCAGAAAGCCAGCCCACGCCTACAGACTGGATGGAGCACACTCCCGTTGAGCCACAGATCTCCCATCCTTCCATGTTCTGTAACCCAAGAATCCTGCGACTACTGACTATGCTCAAGTCCTGCAGCCTGGGAAGACCTGCAGCAGGAGAGTTCTGGGGACCCTTTGGCACCTGGACTTCCCGATGGCTTTCTGACTTCCTGGCCTGCATTCTAGAATGCAGGTCTTTAAGGCACCAAGTGGTTTTCAGGTCTGCCTTCTGCATACCAGCTGGAGCAGTGGCGCTGGACACCGGGGTGCCCAGCAGATCCAGTGAGCACAGTGAGTCACTTTCAAGGCAGGAAGAGGTTGATTCTCTGGGCAATGGATTTGCAGCCCTGGGAGGAGAAAAGCCGCTCCTCCTCGGGGACATACGTCATCATCTTGGCAATTTCATCTAGGGCCTCTTCTGTGTATGGGAGGTCCTGGCTCAGGAAGGCGTCCCGGACACACAGCCGCACATGGTGGTACTCCAATGGCAGGAAGGGGACAAAGAAGTCAACAAGGTTTTCCTTCACAAGACGGCTGGAGCCAAAGCTACTGTCTGAAACCAAGACCCAAAGTTACATGGAGACTAGAGACTTACAGTGTCCCCCAAATTGAGACCTGGCCAAGATCTGGTTTCCCATGAGGCTCTAGGAGAGCCATCTGCAGTAGGTGCCAAGAGCGGTGTAGTTGTGGCTGCTTTAGGCACAGAAGCATGGTGAGTGTGGTTGGGCACAACCACCAAGACTGAGGCTTTTCTGTGCAGGAAACAGGTGAAGCCATCCTACCTTTGGCTGGGGACTGATCTGCCAGCCTGTGGGCATCAGAGACCATGGCTGGGCCTGGCTGGGCCAATGACCCTTATAAGGGCATTTTCAGGGCAGGAGCTTACACTTCCTTTTCCTTGTGCTACCAGAAGCTGACAATTTGAGATTGTTCTGTGTCCTCCACTGTTCACACCCCCCTCCCCCACTATCTCGAATTTGGTACATACACCAATCAGCTGTGGCTCTTGGCAAGACCTGTATATCTGACCTGATCACTTACCTGTGGACGCCATGATCTCAGCTTGAAGGGGGGTCTCCAAGTGCTGCATCGTAATTTCTTCCCTGGACCATCCAGCCTTAAGCAAACCCAGGACCTCTTTGTTGATGACACTGCCTCCAAGGTTACTAAAAGAAACAAGTGCCTGTTAGCAGTTGGTTCCCACACTCACTCCCACGTGTTCCCACATGGGAGGCTGCTCCAGGGGCAGAGCAGAAAGGCCCTGCTTTGCCCCCATCCTGCCTTCCTTGCCCCTTTTGGTAAACACTGGTGAATCTGCTCAGTTCAGGAAACACTCGAGTTCTGTGTGACAAGTCAGATGTCTGGAACCATGTGGCTCCCATCAGCAGTGACTGCCAGACTCGGGGGAGGTAGTCTGGGCACAAAGATGCAGCAGAGGACTGTGGGCTTCAAGGGTCAGAAGGGAAGCATGAAAGCCAGGCCACAGCTACAGAGAAGGTGCCGTGCAGCCCTGAGGATTTGGGGCTAGAAAGTAGGGTGGTGCCCCTTGTTCACTTTATGTCCTCAGAAACCTGTTCTAGGTTATAGGGCATGAGAAAAGGTAGAGGACAGGACCGGACTAGAGAGTCAGTTTAGAAAAACACCATTAGAAGTCAGAGAAAGGGGGGCTAGAGAGATGGTTCAGAGGTTAAGTACACTGGCTGCCCTCCCAGAGGTCCTGAGTTCAGTTCCCAGCAACCACATGGTGGCTCACAGCCATCTATAAGATAAGAAGGTGACCTCTTCTGGCATGCAAGCAGACATTCAGACAGAACAATGTATATGTAACAAATTTTTTTTTAAATAAAATAGGTGTCTGCCTGGGCTGCTTGCTGCAGCTCTCACAAAAGCGTAGGGCGAAGGCTTCTTTTGCACTGCCTGTGTTCTAAGGGTTGAGAATTACAGGGCTGAGCTCAGGAAGACGGGTGCACACTGTGTAAGATAGGAGTGAATGGAAGATAAACCCAGGGAGCCATCACCTGAGGCTGGGAGGAAGTGCTGGCGACCAGGCACCTTCTCCGTGTCCCAACTGAACCCTCACTCTCTCCTCTGCTTCTTCAGGCCACAGAATGAGGGATGTGGTGAGTGAAGGGGCAGGGAGGCAAGCGCAAATCAGACTGGGGGGGTCTAGCATCTCCATTCCTCTTCACAAGGCTCAGAGTGCCCCCATACCTCAGAAGAGTTCACTCTTAGCCTTCTGCTCAGTTTGCATTTGAGTGTGTCCTGCAGTCCCTAACCTGCCTCCCTAGCTGGGTGGGGAGAGACTGGGGCAGGCATCCGTCCTCAGCAAAGAGGTGAGGAGCAGTGTCCCTCGCAGCCACAGGGCTTACCAGGGGCCTTGAGTCCCCAGCTGGAAGAGTCCAGTGAAACAACGGCGTTCCCAGGCCTTGCTCAAGCCCACCTGCCCTGCCAGACTTCCAGCCTGCAGACACCGCTTACATCACTCATCTGATTTCTGTGTTTGATGCACAGTCCATTAGGAGGCTTCCAAGGTACATAACTGCATCAGAGAGAGGCAAGATTGGCCCCACCACCAGAGACTGCCACAGTAGCCCTGTTCCCACTGTTTCTGGGGAACAGCAGGTCAATGAGATTAGTGACTTTCTCAGCCCCAAGGACGTAGACCTTCCCACACCTACCCCCTTCTCTGTGCAGCCCCAGGGCCACTCTAAACAGTTTCTGCACAATTGCCCGCTTTGTCTGCAGCTTGCTTCTGAACTGCTTGAAGCCAGTGTCTTTTCCCCTCCGTGTTACTTACAGGCTGTACCTCTCACAGGACAAAGCCTACGAAACCTTCGCTGCCCATCCAGCATCTTCAGCCCAGCAGGGCTGCATGCCATAGCAGACAGATCCTACCTTCCTCCCTCAACCAGGCCCCTGCCAGTTGCATGCTGAGGGAACAAAGTCACAAGCTCTGTCACCAACTGTGAACTCTTTCCAAAAGAACAGAGCTAGACTCAATCACGAATATCTTTGGGCCTCAGTTTCCTCATTCGTAAAATGAGAAACTGGGCCCAGACAGTCTGGGGCCACTCGTCAGTAGGCAGTACAAACCACCCACTGTGCACCTGCACACAATGTGTTCAAGGAAAACTCACATCCGTATTGTTCTTTTTCAAAGTCCTTTCTGTTTGCACCCTGACAAGAACTCAAAGGAGACGTCAGCAACCCTCTTCTGGGTGCACAAGGCGACAACAGTTCCAGCCCTGCCATGTGCCTCTGGGGCCTCCTGCTGGCAGACACGGGCAGAAGCCAACACCACTTTTCTGGTAACCATATACCAAGTGCCTGAATTCTTCTGGCCCAGGTATGGGATGGGCTTTGGTTCCCCGATTGCTTCAACGGCTGCCTCTGAAATCAAGCTTGACCAGCACCGTCTGTGCTTCTAAAAGGACCCAAGTATGGACTCTAGGACAGACCTAAACTACCCTCCGGAGCCTAGGAGCCTAGTGGGAGCAAAAGTCCCCGGTAAGCAGAACCTGAAGACTGAAACCCTAGATGAGAAGGGAAGGACACCACCAGCAGATGCAGGGATTCTGTCCACACGTTCCACCTAGATGCTCAGCTTCAGGCGATTCTGCTGAGTTATCATAGCTAGACTGCCCCACCCCGGGCCTGCTGCCTTCTAGCTTGCTGTCTCTGTCTGCTTATATAGACAAAGCTTGCTCTTCTGCAAAATCTTGTCACAATAAAGTTGTCCGTGATGGGCAAAGCAAGGCCTCCTGGGCATCACCTACTCTATGTGCCTTCAGGTGCTACAAAAGAGCTGGCAAAAAAGCCATCAGTACCTCAACAGCAGGTCTTGGGTTGTCTTTTCAGGTCCAAACTGAGGATTAAATTGACTGTGCCGGGGCTGGGAAGGGCTCTGTGGACAAAGGTATCCAGGAGCCCTGTGAAGAGCTGGCATGGCTGTGTGCACTTAGAACTTCACCTCTGGGGGCTCAAAAACAAGGTAGAGCCAAGTGTGATGGCATATGCCTTTAATCCTAGCACACAGGAGACAGACGCGTGTGTGGATCTCTGAGTTATAGGCCAGACTAGTCTACATAGTGAGTTCCAGGTCAGCTGGGTGGCATTGTGATACCCTTTTCAAAACAAATAAACAAAATAAAAGCAAACAAGGTAGTGTGTGTGATATTGGACCTTCACTGTCAACCTCCACACAGCCAAGCACACACATACACAACACACACGCAAGAGACAGCCCATTATAGAAATCAAGTCCAGAGTTTCAAATCTCAACATTATTTTCTCATAAGTAGAAATACCAGGGAATCTTGGGGCACCCTCAGGAGGGGGTGGTTGTGGTTCTGCATGGCTGGAGACAGACTGTGGCAGGGTGGCCCATGGCTTCTCCTTGGTGCAAGCCTGCAGCAGAGTTGTTGGGAACCACTGCCATGTCTCTCTTAAGAGCTGGGTAAGTGAACTCCCCAGAAGGCAAGCTCGGCTGCTACCAGGTGGCTCTCCCAGCCCCCCTTTGCCCATGTGAGCCCATTTGTGTGTATAACTACGTGGCACCTTCACCCATGTGAACCCATGTGTGTATATAACTATGTGGCCTCAGTCAGTCCACTGAGGTCAGGTCTGTAGGGGAAAGGGCAGGGCCATTGCCACAATGCCTGCCTTGAGCTAGGAGGGTCACTGGGTCACTCTGTCAGCCCCTGAAAGAGTTTGCAAAGTTGTGAAGCAACTGGGTAGGAGAGTCAGTGCCTTAGTTAATGTTCAGCTGTCTCTGCGTGTGAGGCTGTCATGGACAGCTGAGGCCACTGTCTCAGAAAGGGTTAACTGTGGACGCTGCTCAGTCATCACCCTGGCACTCGGGGTACGTCACCGAATGATGTGGGATATCTTTCTGCATGTGTTACTAAATGCCTCCCTTTTCTTAAGACCTCCCTAAGATCCTCAGCCCAGTGTCATCCTTGCCTTCCACATGCAGAAACTCATGTGGCTTAAATCTCTTCCATCTTGTCTGGAAACCTGCCTTCCACAGTTCAGCCAGGAGAAAAATCACCCCTGCTTCCCCAGGGCGCCCAAAAGCCTAGAAAATCCCATAGGGGTGGCCTCGTGGCTAGGGAGTAAGCAGTGGGTTTGCAAGGAGCTTTGGTGAAGTGTTCACACTTGACACATTTCTTCTCTGCTCCCCACAAAGCCATTTTGGGGATCTGGGTACATGGATCAAAAGTACAGCAATTCTGGAGTAGCAGCTCTTCCTCACTGCTCACACATTCCCCTGCTAATGTGAGAGACCTGCCTTTCACTCTATACTCCAGAGGAGGGACCACCCTGCCAGGGCAGGGATCCCGAGAAATGGTCAAGGTTTGTTCTCTGCTTAATTTTAGAACTAATAGCTGACTTGAAAACCAGAGCTCTTATTCACGAACCCCCACTGCACCCCCGTCTCTATGCAGGAGTGTGGCCTGCTGACACCACCTCTACTCATCCTTGCCTTACATACCCTGCCCATCCCCATGACCCAAGGATTGCTCCTCTCCAGGAAAGGGAACTAGACCCACAATGGCAACCCCACCCACCTCTACACCTGCCTAGGTCCACATTTCCTGTGAATGCCTTCCACCACAGCCCTCCTCACCACCGCCAGACAGGGATTCTAGATTCACATCACCAACTCCCCCAATAATTGTTGCTTGAGGAAAAGTTCTGAACACCTCCCCAAGACTCCTAAAGACTGGCTATGAGAATCTTCTAGCTCAACAGTAGGTCTACTCCTGGTCTTAGAAACCTCACTTGGTTTAGGCTCAACTGGGACTGCTGAGCCCCCAGTGGAACCTCAACACTGAATTACCCAAAGACTCAAACCTAAGCCTCAGTCAACTACCTGACAAGCTGGGTAACAGGAAACAGCTTCAAATACCCACCCAACAAAGCAGACACAAGATTTCCACACCCACAACCACTACCAACAACATAAGTATAGATGCCTAGGTCCCAATGCTGTGATATTTTGTTTGTGTTTTAACAAATAAAGCTTGTCTAGAAATCGGAGGCAGACCTAGTCACTAATTAACCATAGAGGTCTGGAGGTCTGTACAGACAGGAGGTGATAAGGTGGGGTAAAGACAGGATCTTGGCCCTTTCCAGTCTGAGCAGTCAGAGAGGTAAGAGGTGA